AGTTTGCTGCCCCCGAAGGAAATAGGCCACCCAATGATTCCAGTCTTGGTGTGTGGTGGGATCCCACTTAGCCAACTGAGGATAGATCCAGCTGTTTGGGGCTGGCAGTGGGAAGGGAATACTGAAATGGGTTTGGGGAAGCTGAATGGCACGCTTTTGCAGAAAATGAGAGCTGGTCCTAACAGAGCAGTGGTAAAGATTGGATCGAGATGGCACAGAGGAGTACCGGAACAGCCCCCACCTGAAGAGGAGTTAAACCGGGTGTGGGCACAATTGGAACTCCTGCCGTCTCAAAAGTTGGCATCGATGCTCTGGCTACAATCCCATCTAGCAATCCCAACGTCTACCTGGCTCTCAGAGAAAGGTATGACAGTGAATACAATCTGTGATCGATGTCAGACCGGATCGGAATCAACGAGGCACCTGTGGTGGGACTGTCCAAAGTCCCAAAAATGGTGGGCCTGGTAGGAATACCATTGGAAGCGGTTCACAGGCCTCTCGGAGTTCCTTGGGCAACGCTGGGCCCTTCCAGAGGCCTCTCGGAGTTCCTTGGGCAGCGCTGGGCCCTTCTGGGGGTGGTCCCGGAGGGCTACAGTACGCAGGAGGGATGGGGATATATTGCCCAGGTATGTAGAGCAATTTTGCTCTGGGTTATCTGGTTGGAAAGAAATGGCTTAAGATTCAAGAAAGAGGGCATGACTGACAGACAGGCGGGAGCCACCTTCAAGCTTCTTCTGACGGCGGCAGTGAAAGCGGATTGGAGTCGAAGAGTCCTCGGTGGAAACAGAATACGTGGAGAAACTTGGTTTCGCAAGACTTGGGGTGCCAGAGAGCAACTAGCAAAGATCAGTCCTGAGGGGAAACTAGTACTGTGCAATTGGTTAGAATACAGGTGATGGGCCTTGGTATGAACCAGGACACTCGGTTCCTGTCGGCGGTGGCGGTAGACCGCAAGGGTAGGGGAGGGTGGAGAGTGTCATGTAGATAGCAGGGAATAATCCATTCCCCTCGGCCAGTTTAGGCTGAGTTTCAAATCGAAGTGAGGTCTAGGACGTTAGAGTTAGCGAAGTTTTCGTGCGGTAAACAAGGTATGGAACGTAAGTTTTATTGCTCTGAAAGAAGGATTACATGGGCCTTGTGATTGATGATCAGAATGTGGTGTAAGCTAAACCAGCTGATGCTGCCGGGATAACTACCGGGTAGAATTGTGGGGTCCCCGGCCTCGATGTGTTGTTTTTCAGTCTGGTATTGAATCCCTTTAAAAAGAGAAAAAAAAAGAAGATAATTTTAAACCACCACTACCTTTCACAATTTACTGATGTTGACGATCTTCATTCTATTGCTGTTACCTCAACTGCTGTGAAAAATAGCCATTTGATGGAAAGATAATTTTAACTGACCACTACCTTTCTCAGTGTTGGGAAAAACAGGTATGAACGGGGCTCGGCAAAAAGGAACTGTCTGGACGCTATAGGCCCATTAATTGAAAAAAACAAAGAAACTGAAATGTGAGGAGAGATATTCGGCAATGCTGCAACTAGAGGCATACTCACATCAATACTTGGCAGAATGTACGTCGACGCTATTGTTCAAATGTGGTTCTATTTTTTTTTTTTTGCCCCTTGTTTTGTTTTGTTTTTACGCGCTCTGCCAGAGAGGGAGGGCGTGATCCACGGAGTGCTGAAACGCCCTCACGTACGGTGCACTCGCACTACTACTTCGTAGAACATATCCAACCCCTACCTGGGGGGCATTGAACCACCAGTGCACCGGGGGCTGCAGCCCCTTACTGCGCACCAAGCTGTTCCGAACTGCCAACGGCGCACTTTTGTTTCTTTTCTGGCTGGTGCCACCAGCCATTGTGGTCCGGCAGGCCGAGCCTCCAAAAATTTTGTAGGCTACGAGTTTTGTTTTCAGCAAGGCTCGGGCCGTGTACTGCATCACGCACGCGCGGTGAGAAGCGCACGTGCAAGCATGCATGCGCACGGTGACCAGTTTCTTTGCAGCGCATGCGCAAGCACGCACAATACATTGAAAATGTTCGACCTATCAGAATCCGAAATGCGATGCAGGCCGCCAATTTCTTTTATCGATGATGCGCTCGTAGTGAGACGTTGTAGAAGTCCGCAACGAGACGGACACGACTTATTCGACGCCGTTGAAGATACTCGTAGTGAAGAACTCGCTGCGAAGACTTTCAGCAAGGCTGGGGCCATGTACTAGCGCCTTTTAAGGCTGTCAATTTCTGTTCAGCCTAGCCTGTGTGACTGAATTGTACTTCGATGTAACAGTCGATGACCGGATCATGTGTTCGAGTCCCTACACAATCAGACGGATGACAGCGATAGGCAAAAATTCGGGAAGTTTTCTTTTTCTTTTTTTTTTTGGACCATTTCACAATTTTTATGCGTGTCATCCTTGTATCATTCCAATTTTAACGGGTGTCCTGAACGACGATGGATATTCAACATTGAATATTGACAATTTATTATTTATCAAATATACTAGAGGAAACCGTTTTAACGTTCCCAAGAAAATTCAGTCCGACAAAGCTTCGGTTCATGCTGAAAACAGCCATGCTGGTTGTGGTCGTAGGTGGATTGAATAGGTTTCAGTGTTTCACCTATCTGATTCGTGGTTGGGAGGCTTTTTGACACACACATTCTACTGACTTGGTAGTGGGCCGTGAATGTTTCTGAATTTTCCCTTTTCTTCAATAAAAAGTTATCTATTTTTTATGGTAATCTGCCTGTTCAAAAAGTAGCAAAAAAAACGTATACTTATTTTGTTCTTAGCCGAAGCTGGGTAATGGCCCCGGTAGCTCATTTTTTTGTATTCTGATAAGGGACGCTGGGCCCGGTTCCCAGCCGTGTTGCTCCCCACGAATAAATAGGAGCATCGTCTTTAAATAAAAAAAAAGTCTTTCGCATAAAAAAAAAAAAAAGAAAAAGAAAAGAAAAAAAGAAGCCGGCTCTGGAAGCACCTCTGTGCCATTCTTGTGAAGGAGATGGTCCACTTTGAGAGCATATCTGTGCCATTCTTGAGAAGGTTCGATCTCCTTCAAGGTCCTCCCACATCGACTGTCATTGTTTGCCCCTCATTCCGGTCCACACTTGAACCATGTCTCCAAATAAAGGAAGGGCCAAACAAAGGTCCAGGTGGTGTTCTTTTTCATTTTCTTTTGTTTCCTTTTATTTGCATGACGTGTAAGCACGGCCATTACAGAACCAAGCCTGGCCGACAGGCAGCGCGATGGGTAAGGAAGGAGAGCAGCGTTGACAAGCAGCAACAAGGAAGGGAAGTCGTGATGGTGAAAAGGGTGAATCGTCCAAGCGATGATGGGCACTCTTCGCCAAGTAAGACAAGCAAACGTGTGCGTGTGTAAAACGAGCAAACAAGTGTGTGTGTGTGTGTATGAAACCTATGTGTCTGTGTGGGTGTGTGTGTGTGTGGGTGTGTGTGAAACCTGTGTGTGTGGGTGAAACCTCTGTGTCTGTGTGGGTGTGGGTGTGTGTGTGAAACCTCTGTCTGTGTGTGTGTGTGTGTGTGTG